GTCCTTTGCCTTCTAGGAGCAGGTAAGTCCCAGAACACGTGGGCAACTTTTGGCCTTATTTTGTAGGCCTCAACCCAAGGTGTCTCCTAAAGGCTTCAGCATTGGAGATCCCCCTCAGCTCTGCCTCTAACTCTGTCCCCTTCCTTTACAGGCCCCTTGGAAGCCCAAGTGACCCAGAACCCAAGATACCTCATCACAGTGACTGGAAAGAAGTTGACAGTCACTTGTTCTCAGAATATGAACCATGATTATATGTCCTGGTATCGACAAGACCCAGGACTGGGCCTGAGGCAGATCTACTATTCAGTTAATGTTGAGATGGTTGATAAGGGAGATATTCCTGAAGGGTACAACGTCTCTCGAAAAGAGAAGAGGAATTTCCCCCTGATCCTGGAGTCGCCCAGCCCCAGCCAGACCTCTCTGTACCTCTGTGCCAGCAGTTTATCCACAGTGCTGCACAGTCAGCTGCTCTCTGCACAAAAACAGAGGGTAGCTGCAAGAACAAGGAGACTCCTCCTTCAGGAGACCCCTCGCCGACCAACAGGATAAACTTCCTCTGTCATCCCACAGAAGCCCTTCCCCACTTCCCAGCCTCAGGGACTCTGCAATGCAGCCGCTCTGTGGAACCAGGGGTCCATCCTCTACCTGCTGTACCAATGAGGTTTCAAAGTTGGGCAGGACAAGCTGAGTTAGCTCTACTGCCAGGGTACTCTCCAATCCTTTCTTCTTGTGGAGCTTAAATCTTTAAATTCAACTAAGCTGTTGCCCAAAATGAAGACTCCATTTACAATCTAGTGGGTCTCAACAATATTTGGTCCTGTATAGGTCCTGAACAGGACCTCCAGGTCCTATTCCGGAGATTTTGTCACTTGGAGGAACACCATGTTTGAAGTTATTGATGAAACCCGACACCTCCTATTTTCTTCCTCTCAGCAGACGGTCCAAATGCCCAAGTCAGAGATGCAAGACTGATCTTCACTGTCTCTCTGACTTTCCCCTTCCACACCAAATCCACCACCCCATCCTGCATTCTTCTGAGTAGTAAATTCCTCACAAATTTTACTAACTTCACTGATCTCACCTGGATCCCTCTAGCCACCTTCCAAGTAGCCACCCCACCTGCAAACCTGCGACCTACCCCCACCCACAATCACTCCCTCAAGCTAACCCTTTGGCTTATTTCTATTAACTAGCTAAAGTCTCAAGTTCATGTTAGTTTGCAAGTCTCTCAGCCCCTCCATGATGTGACCTTTGCAAATCCGCCCACCTTTCTAACACCGACTTCCCCTATCCTTCAACTACCACAACTGCCTGCATCTACTCCAGAAATATCCCACTTCTCACAGGTCCGCAAATATGTCCGCTGCTGACTCACTCCTGGGTCTTCATCTACAATGGTCACTCTACCCAGAATACCACATCTCTCTGGTATTCATCTGTTTTTACAGCTGCTCTTTTTGTGCAGACTGCAGCTGACTGTGCAATGCTGTGAATAAACTGCTGGTGCAAACGTACAGAGAGGTCTGGACTGAGTGACTCCAGGATCGGGGACCAATTCATAGACCAATTTAGAAGTCACTTCCTCTAGCACGATTTCCTTGAATCATTGACTGGGTTATTTCTCTGCCGTGTGTTCTTCTAACACCCAGAGCTAACACCAACACTGAGACACCACCATGAACTCACCAGCCGTTGACTTCTCTGTTCTATAGCTTTTTGCCTCTTTGGAATAGGTAGGTCATGGGTACAGGTATGATGTCCTTGAACTTGGTTTGCTAGACCCTACATTAAGCCTTTTTCTGGTGGTTACACATCAGTATATTTCCTAAGTTCTCTCTTTTTAGCCACAATGTCCATGAATGCTGGTGTCACTGAAATTTCAGTTTATCAAGTTCCACAGTCAGAAAAGAAAGTACTATAATACAATCAGAATATGTTTTATGACCCATATGTGCTGAGCCAGACAAGAGCCGGGAATGAACCTCCAACTAATCTATTTCTCAGTTGGTGCTTAGAGTACAAACAAATAGAAAGTCTCTAATAGACCTGTGTCTCTTGAGATAAGACTGAGCATTTCTTTTTCTTCTTTTTTTTTCATATACTTTAAGTTCTATTGCTTGCAGTCTACAGACATCCAGCTCTTCGCAGACACAGCCAGCCGTTAACCCGAAGCACTGCACAAGCCACTTCCTCTCTGCACAGAAAAGGCTGCCACAAGGGGAGAGATGGTCTTACCTTCCAGAGCCTGCCCTTACCAGAGGAAGCCACTGCCACCACAGAAACACTTAGGGGCCTTTCCCAGCTCCTTGCACTGAGACTTAGGGAGCTCTGAGAGCCCCAGTCTGTAAAAGTCCATCCCTGGCCTGGCGCAGTTGCTTATGCCTGCAATCCCAGCACTTTGAGAGGCTGAGGTGGGTGGATCACGAGGTCAGGAGTTCGAGACCAGCCTGGCCAACATGGTGAAACCCTGTCTCTACTAAAGATACAAAAAGTTAGTCAAGCATGGTGGTGCACACCTATAGTCCCAGCTACTTGGGAGGCTGAGGCAGAAGAATCTCATGAACCCAGGAGGTGGAGGTTGCAGTGAGCCGAGATCATACCACTATACTCCATCCTGGGCGATAGGATGAGATTCCATCTCAAAAAAAAAAAAAAAAAAAAAAAAAAAAGAAAAGAAAAAGTATCCCCAGATCACGGTGCACCTGTGAGATGGAGCTGTCAATGTCCTCTTTCCCTTCCTTCTCATTTGCTGTTTCAATAGGGCTTCCTCAGCCTGGGCTCTTTATTAGAATTGACCTGTATCAATCCAGTGCCCTTCACACCACCTACTAGAGAAGGTTGCATTCTACATTATGGTCTTCAGGGATCCTCTATGGGGCCCCACACACTTCCCTTTTTGTTTACCTGTGTCTCGGGACAATTTTAATCTTAGTCTTATACTTCTCATTTAAGCAGGTTAGGCTACACTATGCACTTACAGATTTCGCCAATAGAAACTTTGAGACTTCACATCTTGTAAAATAAAAAAAAAAAATGTACTAAAGATAAGAATGTTTATGGATGTAAAGTTCTTTGTGTAAGCAAATAGTCTGGTGAAACTGAAGTTCAAAGGTGTTTGTGTGGGGTAGCTGTAGCTGTTCAAAGGTGTTTGTTTGGCTGTCAGTATGCTTGATTTATGGTAAGGCCAAGTCTGTTGGATTAGACATTAGATATTAACAGTAAAGTCAAAACTAAGGAATATAGTCTGAATAATTATGATAACTATTTTATATTATCACAAGCAACTTAAAAACTATTGTATGACTCTGATTGATTCATACTATGCATGGATACAGTTTCAAAACCTGTTTGGACCATTAGAAAGTTTTAATGAATAATGTTAGCAAAATAACCACAAGTAAAGTGTTACTGGAACATGCAGTATAAGCATCACACTGACAGTTGTAGCTCACCCTTTTGTTTTGATCAGTGGTTCTCAATGTGTACCAAAATTACTTGGTGAGATTTCTTTTTATTGTGGGAATAACACTGAGTATGAAATCTAACCTTTAAACAAAACCAATGTACAATATGATATTGTTAACTATAGGGACAATGTTGTATAGCAGATTTCTAGAACATAATTATCTTGTATAGTGGAAACTTTATGCCAATTGAATGGCAACTCAGCACTTCCTTCTCCCACTTTCCTGGCAATTATCATTCTGCTCTCCGCTTCTCTGTGTTTGACATAATGCTAAGTGAAATAAGCCAGTCCCAGAAGGACAAATGTTGCATTGAAGGAGTCTTTTATCACCAAACTATTTAGAATTCCTGGCACTTGGTGATAATAAAAGCAAAACCATTTCACCTGGGTTTTATGATTGTTTTAAAATGCTTTGCACCCTTTATCGCTTGCACCTGGGGCTGAACACGTCTACCAGCCCATTATTGGTATACCACCTTCTCCCCAACCCCATCAGGTAAACCTACACATGTGAGCACTCACATGAACCTACACATGTGGATTTGAACCAGATTCAAACCCAGGCAGCATAGTTCCAAAGCCTGCCCGGTTAACCAATATGCTACTTGTAGTAATTATTAAGTATATTGTATGAGAAACTAAGACTGCTCTCAATAAAATATATTTTGAGAGTGAGGGGAAAGAGAGAGACAGAGAGAGAGAGAGACAGAGAGAGAGAGAGAGAGAGAGAGAATGGTAAGGCTGGTCGGGAGAAAAATTACCTTCACTTTCAAAGACTGAGACTCACCAGAAGAACTCATTGGACCTTGTGCTTGTACTCATAGCAAAGATGTATCACAAAGATGTAGTAAGAATACTATGATAACAAGGAACAAAGTTTGGAGTTTCTCCAAACTCCACCATGTTCTCTTATGTTCTCTTCTTCCGCGAGAGAGCACACTCTCACCCCAACAGTAACAATGCAGCAATGTAAGAACAACCTTTCTGCCCAGGGAAGCTCATTAGAGATTCAGCACCTCCAATACTTTTGGTGGCTGGTGTTAGGTGCTGAATTGTATCATTAAACATTCATATGTTGAAATCCCAGCCTCCAGTACTTAAGAACATGACTATGTTTGAAGATAAGGATTTTACAGAGGTGGTTAAGGTTAAATGAGGTCCTCACTAATACGACTAGGACCCTTATAAGAGGAAATTAGGACACAAACATGCATAGAGGGAAGACAATGTGCAGACACAGGGGGAAGCCATCTACAAGCCAATGAGAGAGGCTCCATGAGAAACCAACTCTGCTGACACCCCGATCTTGGATGTCTAGTCTCCAGAAGTGTCAGAAAATACATTTCTGTTGTTTAAATGACCCGGTCTGTGGTGACTTATGGCAGCCCTCGCAAAATAATTCAGCTAATCACATTGGCACCCTCTGCCTATCATGCAGCAGAATTCCAGACTTGCAGTAAAGCAGGTGTTCAGCCTAACCCACATGGTTTGTGCAAGCAGTCTAGGCACACTAAGCCATGCGTACCAGTTACTGATGGTGGGAAAACTCCCAAAATTTAAGTTCGCAGATGCAAATCAAGAGCCAACTATGCAAGCAGGCCCTTCTAAGGATGGCAGTTTCAGGCCCACTGTGTCAACTCTTTTCTATATGTGCACACACATACAGTGACACTTCCGTGAGCACAAGGGATGCCCTTCACTCTCTAGCACCTCTAGACCCTTTCTAGTCTAGACAATGGCTGAGGGATTATGAGTGTGGGCTGGGACAATGACATCACAAACCTTCAACCCACAGCCTGGCCCTGGGAGAAGACCTATTATTTCTTCAAAGCAGCCATGGGAACCAGGCTCCTCTGTTATGTGGCCTTTTGTTTCCTGGCTGTAGGTGAGTCCTGGGAGTCGTTGGGTCTGGGGAGTTGGTGGCAACTCCTGGCCTACTATTTCGAGGTCTTGTATACAAAGTTTTTCTCTCCTCAGGCTCCCTGGTGGCCTGTTTTTTTCACCCTTGCTTTCTGCCTCTCACAGGCCTCGTGGATGTGAAAGTAACCCAGAGCTCAAGATATCTAATCAAAAGGACAGGAGAGAAAGTTTTTCTGGAATGTGTCCAGGATATGGACCATGAAAGAATGTTCTGGTATCGACAAGACCCAGGTCTGGGGCTACGGCTGATCTATTTCTCATATGATGTTAAACTGAACGAAAAAGGAGATATTCCTGAGGGGTACAGTGTCTCTAGAGAGAAGAAGGAGCGCTTCTCCCTGATTCTGGGGTCCGCCAGCACCAACCAGACATCTATGTACCTCTGTGCCAGCAGTTTATCCACAGCACAGCACAGCCACATACTCTCTGCACAAAAAGAGCAGACGTAAGAGAGAAGAGGCCCTAACTCAGGGCAGGTGCTGACTCCAATGGCACATTCGTGCTAAATAGAAAAAAGTGGCTGCTAAGGAGAAACTAGCTCCATAAGCATACTTCTTTGCAAGGAGAGAATGAGGTATTATTTTTCACCCCTATACAAGTCAGGGACTGTTCTGGATTTAATCCCCCCAGTCTAACGTGTTGTAAATTCACGAGCCCCAACAAGGAGGAGAAGTCTTCTCGCATATTCACACCGTAGCCCTGTTCTACCATTTCGTTAATTTTACCTGCCCTTTTCTATCCTTGTCTCTCTTACTGTGATTTTCTACTTTGCTTAGTGTTTTGTTCTTGGTTGATATTTCACTATCACTAAGTGGTGTTTCACTTAGTAATTTCACTTAGTAATTTGCTCTTGGTTGAATTTAACATATTCTAAATTCTTTTGATGATTTTTACTGTCCATGTGCTGATTCAAGAGAAAGTGTGTGGAATTTGAATTCTGTTCATTCAAGTTTGAAAGAGAAAAACTCTGATTAAAACAAATCTTCCAGGTTCTCTGATCAATCTTATTTTGCTGGAAAAAAGTTCTGATCACAGAAGGTTTAAACTATGCTGCAGAAGGTGGTAGGAATTTGGCTATAACTGCACTCACACTCTTCTGGAAAAAGTGTGTATTTGTTTTGAAGAATAAAACACATGCTCTTCTGTCAGTAAAAATTAACAGTGCTTTGGAAATACAAATAAATGTAAAGGGTATTAAAAATCCCAAACTGCAGAGCACTTGCACAATTATTATTGGCAAGACAAAACAGGCATCTTTAAACATATTTTGATTCAGTGCTAAACTTTTGTGTGGAAGAAGTCAGAGAAAAAATTTAAATCAATGTGTATTACAGTATTCAAGATTAAGTTTGTATGAGATAGGACTTGAGCTGATTTTGAATACAAGTAAATGAGGGAAGAGAAACTATCAAAAGAAAGAAATACCCTGCAAATGTTTCTGTGAGAGATTCTACCAGAATGAAGAGGAAGATTCTTTCCCTGAGGAAAGGCAGGAATCAGAATTCTCCTGGCTGAGGTCAACATCCAGAAGAGAGAAAGCACATCTTCCCAGAATATCATTAAAATCCTTTCCCTTTTGCCCCGAGAATACACTGTAGTTGTGCTTGTGACTGCAGCATTTCCCCTGAGATAACACACAAGGTTTGATACAAGAAATTCTTTTGCCACCTTCTAAACATTACAGTGCTTAACTCCTACATCCTGTTCGAGAAGGAGCATTCTGAGCACACGATTAGCCATAGAAACCTCAGACTGACATTGATTAAAAGGGTGCTGAAAAAACATCACGAGCCAGGGCAGCAACGTCTCTGAAGTCATCCATGCTCTGATGATGTCACACCTCCTCCTCTTCACCTGACTGGAAGACATTTCCCCAAAAGCATTACCACCAACATCAAAGAAACAAAACCCAACTGGTCACTGCAACTTTTGCTGCTTACACAAAGACGAGGATGGCAAGATGGCAAGATCTGTAGAGAACGGCAATATTTTTTTGTGGAATGTGATGTTCCGCTTTCTGTTGTTCTGTGCTTTGACATTTTCCCATGCAAAAAAAATTATCGAATACTGATTATTATATACATTTCTGTGACATTAGACTTAGAGGCAAGTTCTGTTTAGAAATAATTCCAAGAACAGTTTTTATATTTTATTTTCATGTTGATAATCAGTTAGATTTGCTTCCGCCTCAAAGAGCATGTTTATGTCAAATTAAATGAATGCTGGCAGGGAGCTGCACTTTTTTTACTAAACAGGAAAAGGGTTAAATAACAGAACACTGTATCTACAAACTTTCATATTTAGTGAATCTTCAGGGTTTCTGAGAGTCCTACATTTTCCCACAGATTATTTATTTCTTATAGCAAGTATTGTCCAGACTCAGAAGATCAACTGCAAGAGATGGGAACAGGTACCAGCACTGTGCATCCATTCCCAGGGCTATGTGGGACCATTTCCATCACAGGGGTCATCACCTGAATTGAGTCCCTGGTAGAAAGAGTGCTATGCTAGACTCAGCTTCCCTTCTCGCATGGTTACCACCTGCTCCCTCCAACACAGCCTCACCTTGCTAAGAAAATGCAGCCCAGGGAGAGAGGAAGAACACATAAAAATGAAAATGAAAATGAAAATAGGCAGAGATGGCATGTCAAACATCAAAGTGAGTAAGAGAAGACATCTAAAGAGGGCGAAAGGATTGTAGATTGGAATAGGCGGTTTGAATTTAGAAAAACGAATGAAAAAGTGTTCACTAGGGGGAGTTCACAGTTTAGAGAATAGACTTTTTTTTTTTTTTCTTCTTTTTGAATTGGAGTCTTGCTGTGTTGCTGAGGCTGGAGTGCAGTTGCACAATCTTGGCTAATCTCAACCTCCTCCTCCCAGGTTCAAGTGATTCTCCTGCTTCAGCCTCCCGAGTAGCTGGGATTACAGGTGCATGTCACTATGCCTGGCTAATTTTTGTTATTTTTAGTAGAGATGGAGTTTCACTATGTTGGTCAGGCCAGTCTCAAACGCTTGACCTCGTGATCCACCCACTTTGGCCTCCCGAAGTGCTGGGATTACAGGCATAAGCCACCACGCCCGGCCCACAGAATAGACTTTTAAAAGCACATAAAAGATCATGGATGTTTACCATGAGGGTACAGAGAATAATTAAGAAAATGTAAACCATTATTTCACTAAACATACGTTAACATACATCACATTAGGAGACCAACAAATTCACAGAACATAAAAATTGATACTCTAAATCTCCAAGTAAGCAATGTTTGTTTGTTTATTTAGTTTTACTTTAAGTTTGGGGATAGATGCACAGAATGTGCAGGTTTTTTACATAGGTATAACATGTGCCATGGTGGTTTGCTGCATCTATCAACCTGTCATCTAGGTTTTAAGCCCTATAAGCATTAGCTGTTTGTCTTGATGCTCTCCCTCCCCTGGTCCCCCACCCCCAACAGGCCCTTGTGTGTGTTGTTCCCCTCCCTGTGTCCATGAGTTCTCACTGTTAAACTCCCACTTATGAGTGAGAACATGTGGTATTTGATTTTCTGTTCCTGTGTTAGTTTGCTGAGGATGATGGCTTCCAGCTTCATCCATGTCCCTGGAAAGGACATGATATCATTCCTTTTTGTGGCTGCATAGTGTTCCATGGTGTACACATGCCACATTTTCTTTATCCAGTCTATCATTGATGGGCATTTGGGTTGGTTCTGTGTCTTTTAAGTAATGTTTTAAATTATGTGATTTGGAAAAATATAACAAAATAAATTAATTTTTGTTGAATGGTAGTATTAACTGGGCTCTTTGCCGGGACATGGCTGGGAAGAAGTCTGGCCTCTTCCTGCAGGGAACAAGGAAAATTTAGAGAAGGAAGCAATTTTTTTTTCTCTAGAGACCACTGCGATATCACAGGTAGTTTATACATATAACATACAACAACCCTGACATACAGGTATTATTTTCTCCTAACTAAAAATAAATTTAAATAAGTGAAGTGTAATTAAACCTAAATTTAAATGACTTGCCTATAGCCACACAGCTGAAAAGTTAGTGGAAAAGGCATGTTTCTATATATTTTTTTAAATAATAAGATAATTGAAACCAAGATAGGCATATTTCCATCCTCAGCTGAATGGGTTCTAAACCCAACCATTAGGGCAAAGATGTAATCCACACAGCCAGAGAACGGGACCTTCTAACTTCATACCAGCAGGATAGCCATAGCACCAAAGACATTTTTCATGTCTTAGCACAAACTTCTAACACCTCCATTTTGAAGTAGAAGGATAAAGGCTTAAGAGCAGAAACTGGGTCTTGTTAGTGGTGGACAAGTGGACATAGTCATATTCGTTGTGAGTGTTTTACAACATTCTTTGATAATCACTATTAAGCCAGCTGTAGATGCATTGTATCATCATTTATTCCCCCATGTTACCATCATATCATAAGATTAACATTGACAACTTTGAAAACTTGTTGCTAAAATTAAATTATCTCAATTTTCCAGTATCCTCCTAATTGACCTAGCCAATTTTGTATGACTTGAAAAATTGGGAAATGTCTTCTCATCTGTGCTAGATCTTCTTCAATTAATTTCAATTCATTAAAACAGAAATAGCAAGAAACTAACAGTCAAAGGGGTTTCTTCATCCCATCATTCACTACAAAAGGCAGTGACAAGCATCTAGATATAACATAGATCTCTTCTGCCCTCTGTTGAGGGCATCAGAACTGGCTCAGTTCACTCAGATATCAGTGGCAGAAAGTTGAGGGAGATTTCCTGTATGCTCAAACTTTTGGTAGAATAAACTGGTACCTGTTCTATCCAATGGATGCTGTCTTATTTAACCTGGGACCCTGAAGGGATACTATTCACTAATGAAAACATTAAAAAGCAAGCCACAAGATATCTTTAAAGAAAGAGAAAATGTAATGAGGGGTGTATAATCATTACATAATGTATCAGTCTGTTTTCACACTGATGATAAAGACATACCTGAGACTGGGAAGAAAGAGAGGTTTAATTGGACTTAACAGTTCCACATGGCTGAGGAGGGCTCAGAATCATGGCAGGAGGTGAAAGGCACTTCTTACATGGTGGCAGCAAGAGAAAAATGAGAAAGAAGCAAAAGCGGAAACCTCTGATAAACCCTTCATATCTCATTAGACTTATTCACTATCATGAGAATAGTATGGGAAAGGCTGGCCCTCATGATTCAGTTACCTCCCTCTGGGTGTTGTAACTCCTACAACACGTGGTAATTCTGGGTGATACAATTCAAGTAGAGATTTGAGTGAGGACACAGTCAAACCATATCATTCTGCCCCTGGCCCCTCCAAATCTGATGTCCTCACATTTCAAAACCAATCATGCCTTCCCAACAGTCTCCCGAATTCTTAATCCATTTCATCAATTACCCAAAAGTCCACAGTCCAAAGTCTTATCTGAGAAAAGGCAAGTCCCTTACACCTATGAGCCTGTAAAATCAAAAACAAGCTAGTTACTTCCTAGATACAATGGGAGTACAGGGATCAGGTGAATACAGCCATCCTAAATGGGAGAAATGTCAAAAACAAAGGAGTTATATTTCCCATGAAAGTCTGAAATCCAGTGGGGCAGGCAAATTTTAAAGCTCTAAAATGATCTCCTTTGACTCCAGGTCTGACATCCAGGTCACGCTGGTATAAGAGGGGGGTTCCCATGGTCTTGGGCAGCTCCACTCGTGTGGCTGTCCAGGGTACAACCTCCCTCTTGGTTGCTTTCACAGGCTGGCATTGAGAGTCTGTGGCTTTTCCAGGTACGTGGTGCAAGCTGTCAGGGGATCTACCATTCTGGGATCTGGAGAACAGTGACCCTCTTCCCACAGCTCCACTAGGCAGTACCCCAGTAGGGACTCTGTGTGGGAGCTCCAACCCCACGTTTCCCTTCTGCGCTGCCCTAGCAGAGGTTCTCTATGAGAGCCCCATCCCTGCAGCAAACTTTTGCCTGGGCATCCATGCATTTCCATATATCTTCTGAAATATAGGCGGAGGTTCCCAAACCTCAGTTCTTGACTTCTGTGCACTCACAGGCTCAACATCATATGAAAGATGCCAAGGCTTCCACCCTCTGAAGCTACAGCCGGTGCTCTATGTTGGCCCCTTTCATACAGGCTGGAGCAGCTGGGACACAGGGCACCAAGTCCCTACGCTGCACATGGCATGGCGAGGCTGGGACCCACCCACGAAACCATTTTTTCCTCTTGGATCTCTGGGCCTGTAATGGGAAGGGCTGCCATGAAGGTCTCTGACATGGCCTGCAGACATTTTCCCCATGGTCTTGGGGATTAACATTAGGCTCCTTGCGACTTATGCAAATTTCTGCAGCTGACTTGTATTTCTCCTCAGAAAATCAGTTTTTCTTTTCTACTGCATCATCAGGTTGCAAATTTTCTGAACTTTTATGTTGTTTCCCTTTTAAAATTGAATGCTTTTAATAGCACCCAAGTCACCTTTTGAATGCTTTGCTGCTTAGAAATTTCTTCTGCTAGATACCCTAAATCATCTCTCTCAAGTTCAAAGTTCCATAAATCTCTAGGGTGGGGGCAAAATGCTACCTGTCTCTTTGCTAAAACATAACAGGAGTCACCTTTGCCTCAGTTCCCAACAACTTCCTCATCTCCGTCTGAAACCACCTCAGCCTGGACCTTATTGTTCATATCCATATCCCTATCAGCATTTTTGTCAAAGCCACTCAACAAGTCTCTAGGAGGTTGCAAACTTTCCCACATTTTCCCGCTTCTTCTGAGTCCTCCAAACTGTTCCAACTTCTGCCTGTTACCCAGTTCCAAAGTTGCTGCCACATTTTTGGGTATCTTTTCAGCAACACCACATTCTACTGGTACCAATTTACTGTATTAGTCCATTTTCATGCTGTTGATAAAGACATACCTGTCACTGGGAAGAAAAAGAAATTTAATTGGACTTACAGTTCCACATGACTGGGGTGGCCTCAGAATTATGACAGGAGGTAAAAGGTACTTCTTTCATGGTGGCAGCAAGACA